AGGATTTTGAAGAAGTATGTAGGATATATCATCCCAAAATAAGAGAAGCAATTACTAAGGATGCATCAAGGTTCTAGGTATCCTTCAAACTATAACTTGAGACATTGATAAGATTTGTTTGGAAAGATCCATAAATTCTAGAAAAGCATTTTCTCTCCTTAGCCCAGATGTTGACAGTAAGCACATAAGTGGTGCAAAAGGTTTGATTTGTTTAGGCAATGTGTAAGATACACAATTATGTTTTGAAGGTTGTTTCCATAGTGTTAGATAAAAATAATGACACAGGCTTCTTTTCAAAATAAATACTGCAACAATTAAACTAGGCACACAGTCATTCTTCCTGATTTAATTTGGATGTTCATAAGAAATTATTCTAGTGCATGCCTTTTCTAACCTACACTCTTTGCAGAACATATGTGATTCTTTCACCTCACAGGATGGACAGAAGCCCAAGGAGATAACTGTATTTTCCTTCTAGCTGCAGAATCATACTGCATAACTATTAAAACCAAGTACCACCAAGGTTACCTTCTTCGGTGGACCACAATTCAGATGCTAGAAGGATTTTTCTAGGTGAGTTATAGAACCACCAAATAAGTTGTGTCCATACATCCCACCTAAATTCAGAACTGCAGATGAAGCAGAAGATCTAAGACTTCTGTTCTTGCTGAGCAGCCACAGAAAACTGTTGCCATGACTTCTGTACCATTGCCACAAGCTTTTGTCACAGAAGGTTACAGGCATTTTTTGGTGAAAACTGTCAAGCCAGCAAAACCAATTTACAACTTTTGAAAGCAGGACCATGTCTCATATACATATGAGACATATTCTGGAGAATGTAGGACAATATATTAAATGTGGAGTGTAGAGAGTATGACAGGTGTTGAGGGGCAAACATGAGAACATCAGGTTTTTTTCATTTTCAAAATAAATATACACATTTCTTTAAGGACATTCTACAAAATACTTAGAATATATTTGCAATGGTTGGCCAGACATAAAATGAAAATTTTAAATATGTTGAAAAAACACTTAATAGCAAGGTAAAAAAGAATCTCTCCCCAAAAGTAAGTTCTACACCCAATGACCCAGTACCATGCTGCCAATTACTTACTGCTATACATAGGAAAATAGATCTTCAAATTTCCTCAGAGGCCATCAGCATAAACCCAGAAGAATGAATGTTAATTACTCATCCTAACAATATTAATTATTTTTAGTAAAAGTAATTTTCATGAAATCTCAAGTACTACAGCCTCCTCCTTTTATATACGTGTATATACATGACACAGATGAATATCTATATATATATCTATATGATGCAGACAGCACAGTCTGCTTTAGCTCTGTGTATTGCTGAAAGTATTTAATCAGTTTTTAAATTCATTATAGAACTGCTTCAGTGATTGTGTGTAATAATGAATTCTGTAGTTTGGCTGTATGTTGCATAGCCTAGTACTTTCTTTTCCTGAAGTTTTATGTAAGCTTGTGCTCTTTGATGAAAGGAAAGAAAGGAAGGGAGGAAAGAAGGAACTGAGGGTAAACAAGGAAGGATGGAAATTCTCAGAAAATACTTTGGAAAATTTTACAAATTTGGATAAATTTAATTCATTAATGCAATAGCCACCACAACTTCTTTGTTCAGTGTGAATAATTAAAAAGAAGAAAAAAATCAACCCTAAATTCAGGTATTACCAAAACTGTGGCAGTCAATTATATTAATTGTTTGAAAATACAAATGCCTGCCCTGGATCTCAGCTATGAAAAAATCAGACATGAGTAAAAGGACCACCCATAAACATACCTATTCAAACAAACCCTCCAATAGTTTTAACAAAGAAGAAAAAAAATATGGACTTTGCCGCATTCCTGGAGGTAAGCAAATTCAGGTTCTGGTGGACGACAGTAGATAGAGCTTTCCAAAACTGGGGATCTCTCACAGATAGTTAGTGCCCTGCCAGCTGCTTCTTCATACTTCATTTGCAGAGTTCAAATGTGTGAATCTTTGTGGAGTTTGACTTGGTGGTACACCACAGGGAGAAAAGCAATTTTTCAAGCAACTAGACTCAGTTCTACACAACTGTGCTCAAACACAATGAAGTTCTTGTAAACCAAATAGTTTGGTGATAATGAGGTTTATCTCTGTAGGATAATTTATTTTAATCTGTTATTTTACGCAAATCCAGTAGTGCTGCTATCTTTTTAACATCTTTCATAAGGCTTTATTTAAAGTCTAGACATGCTCTACAGAGAGTGTAAAATGTGTGGATCTAAAATCACATTTTAAAACAGGAAAGTTTTAGCAAGAGAGTCAATCTGGATGCAAATCTGACTCATAGTTTCTCAAAACCTGGGCAACAGCCAAAGACACATCATGCAGGCTGTCAGTCAGCAACTGAGCTACCTCCTTGGGAACCACATGTTCATCCCTGTACGGACTCCTGCTTCATGCACCCAGGCACCTACCAGCAGTGCACTGAGCAACAGAACCAGCATCCCTCACTTACCGCTCTCTTGGGGAATAAGCAAGTGCCATGTAACACAGCATTCTATTTTGTCAGATTGTTGGGGGCTTCTGGGGGGCTAGAGTAGTCTTTTTCAGAAAATTCTTCCTTAATGTCATTCAAATATGAATCTGTGTAAAGGCACAGTGGGAAAGGCCATTAGTGGGTTGACCTCAGACCTATATTTTTTTCTGTCTACTACTACATAATTTCATACTTTTTCAATATGCCTGAGAGAATATATATAGCACATGGCAAAGACTTGTTGCAGAGCATACATTTGTCAAAAAGTGGTGGGGTCCCCTTGGGGGCAGCAAGACCTCACCAGCCAGGGCTGGTCCCACCATCCCAGCCAGAAGCAAGGCAGAATGGGGGGCACTGGGGGCACTGGACTGGCCTGTCAGCTCACTCTTCACAGCTGGGACCAGCAAGACACAAGGCTGGGCACAGGCCACTGAACTATCTATCCTTAGTCCATAGGCTGGTAGGGCACAGGCAATTCTATAACTCCTGTTTGCTTAATGCTTCCCCTCAGCCAAGTACAGTTACCATTGCCTTCATGAATTCCCCAGGACCATTCCTCTCCTGCTGTGCTTTAGCACACACATTTCTGAACTAACAGCTGAGCAACATTCTTGCTTTTGCAAGGATGCTGTTTTTCTAGTTTTTTCTTTAGGTTCCACATTCTTGAGTGGTCACGGCTAGGCTTCGTGAACAAAGATTTGGGGACTTGAGTGGTAGGGTTGTAGGAAATTCTGATGTTTATTCATTCACCAAAAGTTTTACACTTCATATTTTCAAAGTAAGCTTTGGGATCATAAACTCTAGAGGCTCATTTAAGAAAAGTTAAACATACTGTTTAAAAGAAATAATTCCTCTATGTCATTTTTCTGGAGGGTAACTACAACCTGGCACTGCACAAATTCATTTCCATTGACTTTCCAGTCTGATTGGGTCTGGAAGAAATACAGCATTTTCAAGACGAAGAGCTCCCAAGCCAGCAGATGTTGGCAGTTGCCACACAGAGTCTGGGATGCCTCCATTGACAGCCTTCAGCAGGACAGGTCAGGTTCCCTCTGATGTCCCCAGCTGTCATCTCCCCACTTGCAGACCTCCTCGTCCTCCTCTCATCCTAGTTAGCCCAACCCAAGCAGAGCAACTGATTAACTTCTGATTAACACCCTAGACAAAGTTCGGGATGGAGGCTGCACAATCCCTGTTAAGTTACTCAGTTGCTGCAGGAACAGTTCCATGACATCTGCTCTACAAGATAATGTAACTGATGACGTCAAGGTCTGTATATACTATCATCAAGCAGAGGCATTAACATACTGGCCAACTCTCAGACCAATACATGCATACATTCCTCTAAACTCCTTAATTGTGAGTACCTGAACAATCAGATACTGGTTGGGACCTGTGTGGATACACCTCTTTTCAATAGTTTTAATTATTTTTGTGAATGTCACCTTGGTTTAAGTGAGCACCCCTGAAGCTCACTACGATTTTTCTTCGGGGATGATTTTTAATCGGACCCTCACAATTTGCTCTGAGGACGCTACCCTGGGAGCATAAAGGCGTTTTGAAATTTAAACTGATGACTCTTTCCTCTCCCCTCCCCGCGCCTTCGAGCAGAGGACGATTTCGGGGGAGCGATGGTAAATGCTGCTCCTGCAAAAGAAAAGGGGATGCGGCCCGGCCCCAGGTATCGGCACACGGCGGAGAGAACGGCGCAGGGCGCAGGTCAGCACCTCGCGGTGGCGGTGCGGGTGCCGGGCGGTGCCGGGCGGGCACACACGCGCTGCCCACGGCTCCATGAGAGGCCCAGCCGAGCAGCTGCGTCAGAGCGGGCGGGGCCGGGCCGGGGCGGAGCGGGGCGGCCGCGCCCGGCGGGGCGGCCGCCGCGGGC